GGAGGCTAATACAAGGAGGGTCACAAATTTGAGGTCAGCCTCAACATCTTGGCAAGAGTCTGTCTTTAAAAAAAAAAACATAAAAACTAAACTGTGTCAATATAATTAATTTGCTTTGAGGGAAAAAATTGCTTTGAGGCTACTTAAAGAAGCCATCTTTAAAAGATACCAAATATGTGTTAAAGGCGATCTTGCTGCCATGAATCCACTATAGGTACACATTAAAACTCATTATTAAAAAAAAATCATTAAAAAAATCATTATTCATTTATAGCTTCCTTTTGATCTTATTATTACTATATCTCCATTTTATACATAAGGCATCTGGGGCTGAGTGTTTAAGGAACCTGCCTGAGCCCAGAACTCCTAGTGTGTGGCTCTTCTTGGTACCCTTCATCAACTGGAATAAGACTGTGTTACACTATCTACCATCTGTAGCTTGTGAACTACTATCAACAGCCTACACTTAAGAAACTCCTGAGAGTTTTTCTATTAAAAAAAAAAAAAAGGTATCATAGGAAACCATTTGATCTATCGTACAGTGTTCTTTTACCTGTAGGAGAGCAAAGTGGAAAATTAGGTATTAAGAAACAGGTAGAGGGCTGGGGATGTGGCTCAAGCGGTAGCGCGCTCGCCTGGCATGCGTGTGGCCCGGGTTTGATCCTCAGTACCACATACAAACAAAGATGTTGTGTCCGCCGAGAACTAAAAAATAAATATTAAAAAATTCTCTCTCTCTCTTTAAAAAAAAAAAAAGAAACAGGTAGAACAGGAGATCAAACATTTCTTTAAAATTTCATTTCAGTTGATCAGTTTTAAAGGCTTCAATTACCCCAATAACAACATATGATTTGGGAGTCATTAGTCATTAAAGAGTGCTGTAAATATCAGTTCCATATTAAAGGGTTTAAAATTTTTTGGAAGATTTATCCCAAAGCATTTTTTAATGTACAGAATGTTCACTCCAGCAACACTGATAAAGGGGCAACATGAGAGGATTCTGGGAAGACGCTGGTCTCAATGACAGTAGGATTTTCAGATTTTCCAAGTCTCTCCATGAAAACACAGAACAGATACCAAAATTTGGTGCAGACCCAAAACACAAGTGTGTGGAGGCAAATCACCAACAGCCATGTGACCTGCCTGCTATCAGCCTTGGGTGTGCAGAGGGACCACCAGTGGGGCACTGGAAACTGGGAGGGGTCTTGCCCTTTCCAACAGCAGTGACCACAGGAGCCCTCAATAAAAAAGTCTGAAGGATACTCTAGACCCAGGATTCCTGAAACTGACCAGATGTCCTTCCAGGACAAGCACCACGTACACTAAGGAGAAGCCCAGGGAAAGGATCAAATTAGAGCAAGCAGCATTCACAGGAGCAAAAGAAATGAGAAAGGCCAAAGAAAAACAAGCCAGAAAAACCTTAGAAAAGCAAGCTGCCATGTTTGTGAACACTATCTGAAGATATGCTGTGAAGTTAGGACAACTATCTCAGCCAAGTCGGAAAAGGCTGGGAAAGTTCACACAAAGATAAATTCTTAAAATCATACAAAAATAAGAAGGAAAAATAAAACTGAACCACAAAATGACTTTTAAAGAATTAAGGACAGAATAACATCCCTGCAGATAATAAAAGCATGCTAAACAAACACGTTCAATAATAAGAGATAACTATGATACTATTTCAAAATGAGACAAAACACATGAAGAAAACAATTTAAGACATGAAAAATTAATCAGAACTTAAAACTCAACAAATCAAGAAAAAATTAGAAATTAAAGTAAAATCACTTTTAGAAATGAAGATTAGCCAAGAAAGAACATAAGAACAAACACACCCAACAAATAATGAACCTTAAAGAAATAAAAAGTAGCCCTCTCCCCTGGCTGTCCAAGATGCTGAAAGGAAAGAAGGCCAAGGGGAAGAAGGTGGCCCCGCCTGGGGTTGGGGGGCCGGGGGTGGGGAAGAAGCAGGCCAAGAAGGTGGCAAATCCCCTGCTTGAGCAAAGGTCTATGAATTCTGCACTGGATAAGACATTAGCCCAAAAGGGACCTTGGCATTTTGAAAACTGTCCCTACTATATCTGGCTGCAGTGGCAAAGGACTATTCTCCCATCAACAACTGAAAGTGCCTCTTGTGACTCACCAGTTCACCCAGGTCTTAGTCTGCCTAAAAGTTACCCAGTGCTTAAGGTGGCCCTCAGCTGTGGATGAGAAACAAAGTAAGAGAAGAAACAGAGACCTGGCCCGGGCTAGGACTATGTAAGTAGTGTGGCTTTTTGAGCTCGTTACCTGACATTTGTTGAGAAGAAAGCTGCCTGCAAAAAGGACCACCTGTCCTTGAGGGATTCATAGTGTCACTCTCCTTTGTGGAGAGCAAGGCTCAGCTAGTAGTGCCTACACACAATATGGGTCCCATTGAACTGGTTATCTTCCTGCCCACCCTGTGTCATAAGAAGGGTGTCTCCCAACTACACCATCAAGAGGAAGGCCTCACTGGTACTTGCAATCTGCAGTAAGGCCTGGGCCATTGTTGCCTTCATGCAAGTCAATTTGGAAGAAAAAGGAGCCCTGGCTAAGCCTGTGGAAATTATTAGGACCAATTACATGGAAGACTTGAGGTCCATCATCACTGGGGCAGGGGCGGGGCGGGGGATGTTCCTGATCCAAACTTTGCTAGGAAAGGCAAAGGCTACAGAACTTGCCACCAACCTGGGTTAAATGAACACAACATAAAAATAACATTCTCCAGAAAATAAATAAAAGATAAAAACAAAAAATTAACTAAATAAGTAACCCCCACAAAAGTCTAAAAGAAATGAAGAAAAAAAATTTAGAGAAAAATTGACAAATCCATGAGTCCAAATGAAGAATATTTAAAAAAAAAAAAAACCCACAACACTAATTGGTCACCTTCTGAGAATGACAGAACAAATTGTTATCTTGAAAACTAGGTAAATTAAAGGAGATAATCAAGCATTTCTCTTATCAGTTAAAAACTAAAAATAAAATGAAAAAATTGAATATCACTATTTTGTGACCCCCCTGATGGATTCCTGCATTAAACACCAACAGCCTTACAAATCAAAAAGAATGAAAACTACACATCATGTGCTTCCTGATGGAAGAACCTGACACTAACCCAAGAGACTGAATGTGCATCTGACCACACTTCAGGATCCAGCTGTCAAACTGCAGGAAATTCAGACAGAAGAATATGGTGGGAGATACCATGTAATCTGCAAAACCCAGACAGCTGAACAGCATGGGTCAAAGGTCAGAGTTCTTCCCTACAATATGTGGTAAGGAAAAGGGTGGAGGAGGAACCTATAGATTAAGATAAAGACTTAAGACTACATATCAAGATTTTTAAACTGGCAAGACTAATTTACAGTGCTTTGGCATCAGTTCTAAATGATGTTCTTTTCCCTTAGCAAAAAACAGCTGAAGCCATTAAAATGATGAGCTTAAGCAAGGCATATCAAACAGAAAAATTCTTTTTAACAGCAGCATATTTCTTTAATATGCTTTAGCTGCCAAAATTATATCACAGGAGGAATCATCCTCAGCCAAAAGCCCACAAGGAAAAGTAGGCAGATGTTTAAAAAACAGTTCAGGAATTGATTTGTTTATGCAAAATAATTTTAATTAATGAAGCATTCCAAACAATGTTTCAGTCTACAAATAATAGAGGAAAACATAGTAGTGTGGCTCTTTGAGCTCGTCACCTGACACTTGTTAATACCCCTTACAAATTAGCAAGGATTGAGCTTCATTTATGTCAAGGGCAGCTGTGCTCCCTCTCATACTTATGTCTAAACTTTTCAACATATTTTGGGTATTGAAAACTGATCCAAGCCTATCATCATATTTAATCAAGAACAGGAAGGTTTTCGTTAAACAGTACCCTTGAGACAGGCATAGAGGTACACGCCTACAGTCCCAGCTATTGGGGGGGCTCAGGCAAAAGGACTGCTTGACCCCAGAAGTTCTGGGCCAGCCTGGACAAAACAGTAAGAACCTGCCTCAACAAAACAAAATCCCCAAGTCTGGCTTGATATATAACCTAGTTTGGGAATCTAAATGAAGGAATGTAAATACCTTTTAAGGTTTTTTTGTTTGTTTGTTTGTTTGTTTTACCTATTTCTGTATCTTCATGAAAAAGACTTATTTAAAGCGGGTCCACCGCACAGAAAACACCTTCCTTCTGACATCAGCTTGGAAAAAGCACTTACTAAAATTCTTACTATCTCTCAATAACTGTTACATACCCCATTTTATCTGCATAACCTTGGCATCTTACTGCACTGTAACCCACAAGTTTGTGCAAGCAAGTTTTTTTTTTTTTTTGCGGGGGGCGGGCGGTGTCTATATATAGTCAAAAGGCATTCACAGAATCTTTTTTTTTTTTTTAGAGAGAGAGAGAATTTTTTAATATTTATTTTTCAGTTTTCGGCAGACACAACATCTTCGTTTGTATGTGGTGCTGAGGATCGAACCCAGGCCGAACGCATGCCAGGCGAGCGCTATACTGCTTGAGCCACATCCCCAGCCCATCATTCACAGAATCTTCAAAAAATCATTTTACTGGGGCTGAGGTTGTGGCTCAGTGGCAGAGCACTTGCCTAGCATTCAATCCTCAGTACCACATACAAATAAATAAAAAATAAAGGTACATCAACAACTAAAAAATATTTTTGTAAAAGTCATTTTACTGTTCACAAAATTTTCCTGTAGTCAGATGTCAACTGTCAATAATCTTGTATACGTATACATTCAAACACACACACACACACACACCAAAAAATAAATAAATAAATAGAATACAATCTGTTGATGTAAGGGCCTGTAAAAGGCTTATCTGTAGTTAAGTTTTAATGTAGCTAAATCCTGGTATAATCCAATGGATTGTCAAAACTGCTATGATTTTCTGTCTACACACACACACACACACACACACACACACTTGAATGTGATGGTCAAACACCACACTGGGAGCTTACCATAACCGTGCAGTCCTCTGAACCACTGGCAATGACCTGATCGTTGTGCGGGCACCAGTCTATATCCAGCACTGGTCCTGTGTGACCACACACAGTAGGGTAGGATTTGTCAATTCGACCAGTCTGAAAGAAGAGAGAAACAAACCTTTTATATAACATCAATACCACAGAGCTTTTATGTTTTCTCAGGCCTATTTCTTCTTTATTATTTCTACCCAAAACTCTCAGCTGTCTAATTGTGAGGACATTCACATGCATCAATGCCAACTAGTGAGATGGATTAGCTTTCACTTGTAGTAACAGCTACTACCAAGTTCATTCATCAAATTACAAGAATTAAAATTTCTAAAAACAAAAAGATTTTATATTTTGTATCTAAGAAAGGATTTTATTTGCACTCATAAACATAGCACAGAGAATTTATAAGTCTTTTTTGCCAAAATATAATTCTAGAACAGCCAAACTGTAAATTATAGATGTTTCTACTGGAGGGGGCAAAAAAACCCCTTGGTATTACTTAAAATGTGAAATATAACTCTTAATATAAAAGGATAATATCTTTGAATATACAAATTAACAATTCTAGAATTGATTGGCATCATTAAAGTAAAACGTTTTTTAGAACCTTTAGCTGATTTTGTGTATGTGTGTGTGTATGTGTGTGTGTGTGTATTCTGTTTGGTAGAACTAGGGACTGAACCTAGGACTTTGCACATGTTAAGAAAGCACTTTTCAACTAAGCTAGATTCCCAGCCCTTTTATTTTATTTTGAGGCAGGATCTTGCTAAGTTACCCAGACTGGACTTGAATTTATAATCCTCCTGCCTCAACCTCCCAGATAACAGGTATTCTAGATGTGTGCCACCACACCCAGCTTAAAGGGCATATATTTTAACGTCTCCATCTCTGTCTCCAATAGAAATACCATCCAGACAGTCTAACTAGATCTCACCCATTCTCCAGTTCCATGTCTCGTTAAGAATATTTAATGTTGGTTGTAGTCACCACTATTTTCTCATTTTACACATTTGAATCTAACAAGCCAACCAGTCTTATTAGACCAATTTGGTGTCTACCAAGCCAACTGCTGTTATGACAGGTGTAGAAAAGCTCTATCTGTTTTTCAACGGGTTAGCACCATGCCATGCTGGGGCTGGATGGGCTCTAAGAGCAGGTGCACAGAAGGAATGGCTGCACTGTGTAACTGAACCCATTTGCTGTTGCTGCTCTCTTGTTATAGCAAACTGTCAACAATGGGGCAGGCTTCTTGACGAATTTTCAAGCTCAGTAAACTCTATGACTTCTCCAACTTAACTCAACTGTGGAAATTTCCAGAGAAGCAATGTGCTAAAGTGCCAAACCACATGCTCTGGAGTGAGACAGACATGGTTTCAAATCCACGCTCTACAGCTTAAATAGTGGCTGACCTTAAGCAAGTAAAAAAATCTCTCTTGGTTCCAGTTCATCAACTGTAAAACAGATACTTAACTCCCAGGATTATGGTGAGGATTAAATGAGAGAACATGTTTAGGTAAATGATAGCTCAGTGTTACAATTATCAGTGTAAAATATGTAAAAAATTTAATTATAGTACCTGGACTATAATAAAAACTCAATAAAAAACTGTCACTGATTATTAGTTCTTCTAGCACAGTATTTTTATTACTTCATCATAAGAATTAATGAATGTGTATTATTTATGAACTTTTATGGGCCAGATACTGTGCTGAGTTCTGGAGGTACAGAGCTGAACAGGGAAGCCCTGTCCTAGCTGAGCATGGAGTCCAACTGGAAAGAGACATTTAAATCGCCAGTTACAGTGCAGCACAAGACCTGGTCCATGCAGACAGACCTAGGGAAAAAGAAACACAGGATATTCAACTAGGCTTGTGGGAGGGAGTGGTGTCACAGTCTTTGGAAGGTTTTCAGCTGAGAAGGGCAATTTCTAAGCTGAGACTTAAAGATGGCCCTCTGCACAGACCTAAGGCCTAGGTTTCTTCACGTCTTCCTCCTTTCCCTTGCAAACCTCACTGAACTCAGGGGCTTGGGATGTAGCTCAGGGACAGAGCACCTGTCTAGCATACTCAGTCCCCAACCAGCATCAACACCACCATCAGAAAAAGAGGAAATATCAATGAAAATCATATTATATAAAATCCAAGTGTTGGGGGCTGGGATTGTGGCTCAGTGGTAGAGTGCTCGCCTAGCTAGTGTGAGGCCTGGGGTTTTATCCTCAGCACCACATAAAATTAAAATAAAGATATTGTGTTCAACTACAACTAAAAAATAAATATTTTTTAAAAACCCCAAGTGTTATAAAAAGGGTCATTTGTAGGCAGCAAAGCAGAAAGAGCCGAGAACCAGCCTGCCCAGGCTAGGATCACATCTCCACTATTTCTAGCTGTGAGTTTTTGGCCAACTTACTCCAACTCTCAAGCTCAGTTTCTCAGCTGTAATACCAGTATGTTAATAATTCATTCTTTAAGAGTTGATGGGAAAACTGAATAAGACAACCAAGGTAAAGCATTTGCTACTATTCCAGCACTTGAAGTGTTCAACAGATGCCATTCAAAATTTAACAAATACTGGAATTCACTCTACCACACTTCAGATCATGTCTTTCCTTAAAGCAATAGCAAATAAGCACCTAAGCTGGGTGGCTTTATCAGTTTCTCTTACTGCATACCCATAAAAACCGTACGAGATGGTTAGTTCACTTGCATCCTTAGCAATATTCCACGCTCAAGCTGGTGGTGGTGTGCGTAGTGTTCATTCTAGTGTATATAATGATTATCTTAAGTACAGGAATCATCATTCATTGAATGTGTGATATTTCATAATTTTAAACATTCTAGACAAGAAGGGCTGAGTGATGTCTGAATGACTGTGGACAAACTTCTGAAAGGTATGACAAAAACAAAGAAATAGAGAAGTATGTCGGAAATGCTAAGAAGTTCCCAAGTTCAAGAAAGTAAACCAGGAAAAAGGACTGGGACACTAAAACAACAGTGAGGGGGTGAAAAACTGGTCAATATGGTAAACACAAGTAGAGAACTATGTAAAACAGCAGTTATAATGACAAAGTACAGAAGAGTAAGTAAAGTAGAAAGGCATGTGTTCCCAGTCAACAGGTTTCAGGGCCCTTCTCTAAAGAAAAGCAGGAAAACTGACTAGTTGACATGACTGGAAGTCATACAATCATGTTAAAATTAAGGGAAAACACTAAAAGGAAAAAGAACATGTAACTTCCAAAATGTATGCAGGAGGAGGGGCAGGGGAGATGTCAGGAATAAAAGAACCTTTTTGATCCTACAAAGATGAAATAAAAGGAAAAAAGGAGAAACAAGCATGAACACTAGAAAGCACACAATAAGATGATGGAAACAAAACCAACTCTAAATCATGATGTGGTAAATGCAAATAGGCTAAACTCACTAGCTAAACCACAAGGACTATTGAGATCAGATCAAATCCAGCTACAGGACACAGACACACTCAGCACTGGGGATGTGGTGGCACTTTGCCTAGCATGCTTAGCTGGGTTCCACCTCCAGCACACATTTTAAAAAATAATGACACTTGCTAGGCTTGATGGTGCATGCCTGTCATCCCAGCAGCTTGGGAGACTGAGGCAGGAGGATCGCAAGTTCAAAGCCAGCCTCAGCAATGAGGCGCTGAGCAACTCAGGGAGACCCTGTCTCTAAAAATAAAATACCAAAAAGGGCTGGGGATATGGCTCCATGACTAAGTGCCCCTGAGCTTTATTCCCAGTACCAAAAAATAATAATAATGACACCAACAAGTAACTAAAGGGGAGGGAACACATAAAAAAATCCACCCAGAGGCTAAATTAATAATAACAACACACACACAAACACACTAATATAATATGACCTTGTAGCCAATATTTGAAAATACACATTTTTTTTTTCAAAGCAAACATAAAACATTATCTTTTTTTAAGTGATCAATTATGAGACCACAAAGCAAATTTCAAAAAGTACCAAGGAGTCAGTATCATGGAAAGTATGTTTGGAGTACAATGTAAAACAATTATAAATTAATAGGAAGGTATTAACAAAAAAATCTTCAATAGCTGGGCTCTGTGGCACACACCTGTCATCCCAGCAGCTCGGGAGGCTGAGGCAGGAGGATTCTGAGTTCAAAGCCAGCCTCAGCAACAGCAAGGCTCTTAGCAACTCAGTGAGACCCTGTCTCTAAATAAAATACAAAACAGGGCTAGGGATGTGGCTCAGTGGTTGAGTGCCCCTGAGTTCAATCCCTATTACCCACTCCTCAAAAATAAAGCCTCCAATACAAACAAGTCTCCAATACACTAGAAAAAAAATATAAATTCACTAGTTCAGTTTTAAAAAAAATAGTAATGGATAACAAAAAAAAGGTTAAAACTGAATGATATGATATATCAAAATACATGGAATTCAGCTAACACAGATCCCCATAAAAGTTTTATAGTCCTAAATGCATATTTTAGAAAAGATCTCATATACATGGTAGAAGTATGAATAAGGAATAACATTTGATAAGAAATCTGAAAACTCTATGAAACAGGCTGAGGAAGGAGAATTGCAAATTCAAAGCCAGCCTCAGCAACTTACCAAGACTGTCCTTAAATAAAAGATTAAAAAATGTGAATCAGTGGTTAAGCACCCCTAGGTTAAAATCCAATGCCAAAAATAAATAAAACCTCCATGAGACAATCAGGAAAATGTAACTCACTTAAGATTAAAAACCTTGAATATCGTAAAAGAATGAGAGATGTAACTCCACCCATCACCTACCCTCATTAATCAATCACCAAATACCAGAACCAAAATAGGCCCAGGTGGTTTTATAAGAGAGATCATCTCAAACTTTTCCAGGGAACAGAAAAAGGAATTCCACTGAACTCATTACATAAGGTCTGTGTCACAAAGGCTAAAGAAAAAAGCAGAAAACCAAATTCAGTAATGTGAGTTTTTCTCAAAAAAATAAGCAAATTAGCAATAAGCAATGTGAAAAGACTAGTTACAAACCAGGATAAGATATACGCAGTACATATACCCAGCAAGTGAACAGTCAATCTTAACAAAGAATGGCCAGATATGAGCCAAAAACTCACA